ATATCGCAACAGTCCAATGGCGGTATGGTTATCACTAGCGTCAGCGCAACATCCCAGTTCTCTTTTGGTTACCATTCCTTCTGTGCATCTCATTCCAAAACATTTTGGCCAAGTCAGTCCTCTGAGGCTCCAAATGCCCATAGGTCTCAAGCCAAGGCCTCTCTTATTTTGAGCACCGGTTGCCATCGACTCAAGTTCTCATTGGTGTAAGTTACAACCTTATGATACTGTTCTTTGTCTGAATCATTGTCTCTATGCTTCGTAACGCTTACCGAAATCCGAATTTCTGGTCTCTGATTGAGTTTGGCTCTCGGCTCCACTATCATGCATCTCAGCTCACATTAACGTCTTCCTCTCTTGTTTGGCGTCTCTCTTCATTCATATCGCAACTATTCATTGGCGGTATAGGTACCACTAGCCTCAGCTCATCGGTCACTCCATTGATTTCAGCCAGCACAACTTTACCATAAATTTTACATTTATACAATAGCATAGTCCTGTTCAATTTTGTTGGCAGTTTGCTCGGTCCGTTTTTCTTCTCACCCTTGTTCTACAGGATAACATTACCTGCACCGAACACCGCTGAAGACGTACCTGCGACGCTCCCATGGACACGGATTCAATAAAGAACAAAGAATAACCCGCACTTCATAATCATGACACACTAAAGAACCTAGGAAACTGATCAATTCCATACAAGTCACCTGAGTCGTCCGACTTCAACTGGTCCAACCACTCGTAGTGGACTCCGAAGGCGACCACACAGCCATAGGAAACACATTGGCGTTACGTGACTACAAATATTTTCGGGGGTAATTTGTCAGATACAATCCTGTCAATATTATATTACCAGCTGGCAGTGTTCCAGGACGTGGTGGGTCTTCGTCTGGCAAGCGTTTTCCCTACAGAAAGCCACAAATGTCTGTTTACCAACACTGCGACGTTTCGGATGTGATTCGCCACTCAATAGAGTCACCGCCCCTAACACATTGGCAAGTTGATTGACACCACATTTACAAGTTCTGTGCATATATCGGCTCTCGAACGAACACGCCTACATAGCTGATTAGTGACATACCATTATTCTTAAGTATTTTTCACCCGTTTCCTCATACTTCACTCACTGACCTACATTGCTTACGGGACCTCATCGGACTAGTTCCTCATCAACATACCATAAAAGTTATCTGATCAAATAAATAAATATTTTATTCTCGACAAAGCGAGACACGCCTTTTGGGCATGATCAGCATATTGCATTATTGTACATGATAGCGGAATAAGCAACACCAACAGTGGGAGTAGTAAAGTTGGAGACAGTAGTGTGGGCCCATAGAGCCCAAAGTTTGTATGTAGTCTATGTACACAGAATGCGAGAGGCAAAAATAGTGATCAGATAACTTATATGGTATGTTGATGAGGAACTAGTCCGATGAGGTCCCGTAAGCAATGTAGGTCAGTGAGTGAAGTATGAGGAAACGGGTGGAAAATACTTAAGGATAGTGGTATGTCACTAGTCAGATATGTAGGCGTGTTCATGCGAGAGCCGATATATGCACAGAACTTGTAAATGTGGTGTCAATCAACTTGCCAATGTGTTAGGGGCGGTGACTCTATTGAGTGGCGAATCACATCCGCCACGTCGCAATGTCGGTAAACAGACATTTGTGGCTTTCTGTAGGGAAAACGCTTGCCAGACGAAGACCCACCACGTCCTGGAACACTGCCGGTTGTTGATATACATTGGCAAGATGGTATCTGACCGATTACCCTCGCGGATATTCGCAGTCACGTAACGCCAATTTGTTTCCTATGGCTGTGTGGTCGCCTTCGGAGTCCAGTGCGAGTGGTTGGAGCTGTTGAAGTCGGACTACTCAGGTGACTTGTATTAAATTGATCAGTTTCCTAGGTTCTTTAGTGTGTCATGATTATGAAGTGCGGGTTATTCTTTGTTCTTTATTGAATCCGTGTCCATGGGAGCGTCGCAGGTACGTCTTCAGCGGTGTTCGGTGCAGGTAATGTTATCCTGTAGAACAAGGGTGAGAAGAAAAACGGACCGAGCAAACTGCCAACAAAATTGAACAGGACTATGCTATTGTATAAATGTAAAATTTATGGTAAAGTTGTGCTGGCTGAAATCAATGGAGTGACCGATGAGCTGAGGCTAGTGGTACCTATACCGCCAATGAATAGTTGCGATATGAATGAAGAGAGACGCCAAACAAGAGAGGAAGACGTTAATGTGAGCTGAGATGCATGATAGTGGAGCCGAGAGCCAAACTCAATCAGAGACCAGAAATTCGGATTTCGGTAAGCGTTACGAAGCATAGAGATAATGATTCAGACAAAGAAGAGTATCATAAGGTTGTAACTTACACCAATGAGAACTTGAGTCGATGGCAACCGGCGCTCAAAATAAGAGAGGCCTTGGCTTGAGACCTATGGGCATTTGGAGCCTCAGAGGACTGACTTGGCCAAAATGTTTTGGAATGAGATGCACAGAAGGAATGGTAACCAAAAGAGAACTGGGATGTTGCGCTGACGCTAGTGATAACCATACCGCCATTGGACTGTTGCGATATAGACTAGAAGAGAGGCAAAACAAGAGAGGGGACGTAATTGTGCGCTGAGAAGCATGAGAATAGAGCCGAGAGGCAAACCTCAATCAGGGACCTGAGATTTCAATTTCCGTAGAACGACTAAGTATGCAGATAATGTGTCAAATGGAGGCGAGCACATAAGACAGTTAATTATACCAATGAGAAACTTCATCGGTGGCAGCCGATCCTCAAAAGAAGAGAGGCCTTGGTTTGATGGCTATGGGCCTTTGGGAACTGAAAGGCTGGAGTAGTAAAAAGAGGTTTAAAACTGAGTACCACAGTAGCAAAGGGAATCAAAGGAAGTATTTTCCACCCGTTTCCTCATACCTCACTCACTGATCTACATTGCTTACGGGACCTCATCGGACTAGTTCCTCATTAACATAACAAATAAGTGATCTGATCACTTTTTTACCTCTCGCATTCTGTGTACACAGACTACATACAACCTTTGGGCTCTATGGGCTCACACTACTGTCTCCAACTGTACTACTCCCATTGTTGGTGCTGCTTATTCCGCTATCATGTTCAATAATGCAATATGCTGATCATGCCTAAAAGGCGTGTCTCGCTTTGTCGAGAATAAAATATTTATTTATTTATTTAAAATACGCAGCTATATACACATACACACACAATGACATACATACATACCTCCTACAAAAACCCAAACCGCTATGGCAAACTTATCGGATTTTTGCACATTCTTGATCATGCATCGTTATGTCAACATGATCATGCCTGTAAAGGCGTGCCTCACCTTGTTGAGAATAAAGGATTTATTTATTTACTTATTTATTTATTTAATAGCTTGAATTACAGCCATTATGTTTGCTGATGATTTCAAGCTCTGAAATATTGTGGATATCCCTGGTGGTTCTGAGATATTTCACAGTGCCTTACAAGGGCTCTGGGATTGGTCAAACCCCTGGTTGTTACCCGTAAATCAGGCGAAATGTTCTGTCCTCCGCATTGGAGGTGTTAGTCCCACACGCACTATGTAGTTGGAGGAAGTCAAATCCCTATTATCGCTCAGCAAGTTGATCTACGTATCGTGCACACCGCAGTGCTTCACTATGGGGACAATTGGAGGAAGGCTGCTTGTAGCGGGTTCCGTATTATATGGTTTATTCGCCTCTCCTTCGGTGTCCTGCTCGCCAATATTTTTGTAAAACTATTCTCAGCTCTTGCGCGACCCCACCTAGATTACTGCATCCGGGCTTGTCAACCTTGTCTTGTAGGGGACAAATTGGAGCCGCAGAGAGTCTGGCGAGTGTGTGCAAGGTAATCGCTGGGAAAACAGGGGCAAATGCATCCGGACCATATTGTAGCATGGGCATGAACACATTGCACTACCGCAGAATTAGAGGAGACTGTATCCACACTTACCGCGTCTTAACGGGCAAGATCCGTTCAGTCTTGTCCTGGCTATTTAGTGTCGCAAAGCTGCGTAGAATCGCAGGTCGCTCGTTGAAGATGCACAGACTGCGTTTTTTGACAGGAGAAGGACGGAAACGCTTTGTCGCTTTACTTTACTGAACGTTAGGATGTGCTTCCTGAGCACGTCGTTAGGGAGTCTACGGTTATGGGTGTCGAGCGTCAAGAGTTGCGCTTGGGTGTCAGTACCACACATTGCCCCTCCCCTCACCGGCTTGTATCTGCCACTTCCCGTTCGTTTTTTCATTTCTTCTCACACCTTAGTGTTAGCATTATTTAGCTGTCATGCCTCCCCTCGATTGCACAATGTAACTTTACAGCTTTTGCTTCACATAAACCGCCCTGGCAGGCACAGCTGGACTGGAAATGTTTGCGGCACTTGGCTAGACAGGAAGGTGCGCCATCTGTTTCAGGTTTTTAATATCCCATGAAGACCTAATTACTCTCGATGCAACGATGTGCAAAGGAAGGATCATTCACGGGGCTATTCTATTGGTCTCGTCCCAAACTGAACTAAAATGAAATTTCGGATCTCCAAACCAGACTTCTGCCAACGCAATCCGAAAGCAGCTTCTGCTGCTAAACGCATGACGCGTTTAGTTAGCAAAACCGCCCCCAGCAATTTATACCGTTTCTTCAAATATTTTCCTCGACCGCACTTGGAGTTTGCTATTCAGGCTTGGGCTCCGGGTTGCAAAGTTGCCAAGTTCGTAAATATAAGCAGAAATTGAAGAAGTCTTTTACATAATTTTATCGACTGCTTCTTTTGTTTCCAAATGCGCTGATTGCAATTTGAACTCTTACTTCGTATTTTCTTTGATTTTCCCGCCACAGCCGCAAGCAACATTGTCCACTACCATTAAAGAACTAAAAAAGTACTTCGACCATGCTCAACTTTCTTAATTACTCTGATAGTGGTGTTAATGTACAAAGGGCGTCATTCATGTGGGGCAATAAAAGGACATGATTTGTTGTAACGCACTGGTAATTGTCGCATCCGCAGTTTACCCGGTCGCCATCCTTTCAGCTCTTTATAAGGTACATCCAATTGGTCGTTTTTTGTGTTGGTGTCCGAGTTGTTTGCGTCTCAGGGATTTGTGATCAAATAAACTAACTGCAAGACAGTGAAATTGGATGACGATCAAATAAATGCAAGGCTAAATCCTCAACGATTTCAAAGACTCGGGATCAGCAAGTTATCTGCTCATCGCCGGGAGTCTTAGTCATCAAACCTCAAAAGTCAAACGCAATATGTAATGAAATCTTTGCAAGAAATTTCAGGGACGCTTATCAGTGGCTAGGTGTGTCGTCTGTGAACGCGCGGAAATGGCAAATCTTTCCGCCTGTCATGACGAGTTCAATATGTTTTGTCTTGGATAAAGGGCCGTCTACTACTTGTCGATCCTTTGAAGTCCGTAGCAAGCTGTCAAGTCCAGAAGTACTGGCGGCTTTTACCCTTGACTGACTGTCCCAAAGATTAATCTAGCTTCACCAGGCCACAAGACTCAAGATGTTAGCCGTTTCGACCTCGTTTTGTTTTGTTATTCGCAACTGCGGTTATGATATAGAACATTGGTTGTCGTAACGTCTACTTTCTTACGACAGAAAAATGTCCTACTCTGGTTCGCCTGTCGTGGGCCATCGGCGCGGTTCGTCTCGCTACGAAGATTACTCTGGCCGCTCTCGGGATTATGGGTGAGTCAAACTTCCGCACACTTGATCGGTGTTTTGCGATTGCGCTTCATTGCCATAGCTGACAAGGTTTACGCTGCCCGGTCTGCCAGCGGTTTGGTTCACCTTCATTAAGTAGCCATTATGTCCCCATAGGTGTGTTTGCTATTCTTGTACTTCTTTTTTTAACCTTATTCTGTATGATGTCTGGCACAACTTAACATTATTTTGACACGGTTTGCAGCAAAAGTGGGCTCATAAACACGTCGCTACGCTACCAGCACCGGTCAAGTTCGGGTAGGACTGGAACGATAGAATCCCGTGAGTGTTCCACCTTGATTGGATCGTTGAACCAGGAATTGAACTGCACAGAACTATTGTTGGATCTAAAACGGAACACCCGTATAGCACTGGCCAACCAGTTAGTGCTTACGTTTCCCGCTATAGCAATCCCTGTTGTGGCAGTCACGTAAAGTAAGCAAAGGATAGGAAGGGAATTCTAAGGTATTGAATAAGGAAGTTCACTTGAATTACGAAAATAATACCAAAGCATGAAGAAAAGTAGAGAAAAGAAAATCGAAGTATGAAGATGTGAGTTAGTCAGGAAAATGGAAAGGTTTCGTGTTGTCACCCAAGTGTGTTAACTTGCCACTCAAACCCCTTAACCGTGTATTCCCTGATACCATTTTCCGGAAGCATGTTCCAGCGCTCGATGACTGCGTGACAGCCGGATTTCTGCCCTCATCCGATCGTACCATGGTTTCGCAGGCTTCAAGAAATGACCGCGTAGAACTTACAATATAGCGGACCTGTATAGCCAAGATGAATCTACACCAACCTTCCCCACTAGTATACGGTAGGTTAGGATTAGGTCTTCTCTAAGCCTTCGTAGTACATTGAATGCATCCCCAAACTATGTAGACGCTCGGGGCACGTCCTTACCCGTAATCCCTCGACTAACCTAGTACTCACCCGTAAAACCCTCTAGCTCCTTTTTGTCCCGGACGATGCAGAGTGGACAGACCTATGCGCATTATTCCACATGAGGCCAAAGAAAAGCAGAGAACAGTCTCGTAAATATGCCGCCCGTCAAGACTCCGAACGAACGGCGTATTAACCACAACATGCGGGAACCACTGCTCGCGGCCTTCCAGTTATCGCCGGAGTGTAAAGCCGAAGGGTGTACGACGCCTAGATAAACCTGGCTAGATACACGGGGGTAGTTCGACCCCACCAAGAACTTCGCAGGAGGACAACCTACAATTCGAAAACCGGAGCACTTTGCTTGATTTATGGACAATAACCATAAAGTAGAACAGTCTCAGCTCATCCAAGACTCGCACACCTAAGTCAATTTGAACCGGTGACCTTTATATGGCGTACGTTTTATCCTTACGGTCACCACTAAGTGATTCGCAGCCTAGTAGCCAGCCGTTGGTATCTAGTACGCTGTTTCTGATAGGTCAGTTAACGTCCATATTCGGGCAAAACCATGTCGCATAGTTTCCTTGTTTGCGACCTCAGCCTACAGGTTGCTTGTCAAAACACGATGACCTCGGATTGTACCGTTTTGCAATACGGCAAAAGCCAGGAAACAAGTTCGCTACTGCCTGCTTCAACGCATGTCTCACTACTAAGAGGCGTACCACGGGGCATCAGTAACCATAAGCATTGTCAGTACTGCCTTGTTGCTCTACACGAATGACACCTTTGATTATCTAGGCGTTGTTTTAGCCTAGTATGCTTGCCTTGCTCTCATTTTTGCCGCAGATTCATTTGATGACGTCGATTTCGCGCTCTACTGTTGCATGCGACCTCTTCACGTTAGTAATCACACCACCTGGGGTATGCTCTTTGTCTCTAGCCTTTCATCTGTAACGTTGCACTTTGCAAAATGTATTTCCTGTCTTACTTTCCTCCTCGTAGCTGTACAGCGTATCATTTCCCCTTTAGCTTAGAGTATGACCTCAAATTATGTGCTGCATAAAAATAAGCTACCTTTTTCCCTCGATACCACAAAAAAACATTAATGTTACAATACAAAGAATTCAAAACAGAAATAAATTAATTATGCACTTCGTATGAGATCGCAATCGGAAGGGGAATCTAACGGGGTGTGGTATGGACAGAAACAACACAAATGCCCAACAGTCGGGATGCATCAATTGATGCCAGCCACGATGTGAGGGTCTTCATTCCTTTCGGCCAAGTCACCGCCTAGGTTTCTTCTATCCAGACCCCCGGCGCTCAAACATCGCACGTCTCAGGAGTCGGTGTGCTGGAACGCGCAAAACTTGGCCCAGCCATCGGAACCTGGTGCGTAATCTGATAGTGTTGAGCGGCTCACCCGCTCTTCCTGCACCAAATACGCAATGCTGTACACGCTAATTAATCACGCGGTGCTCCCACCTGTAATGAGCTAATCTGAGAAAGCAGCGATGATCGAACCTGACTAGCCTCTATCTGTCGACCAGATGGACCAGGTTCCACAACCGTATAAGTGGTTTAAATAGACGAGGGCATTATAAACTGCCCTACAAAGCGAGTGATATTGCGTCGGCGCCACAAGGGTGTAGATTGGCAGAAGCACCTCCAGCTTCTGCTATACTGTTAACCTCATTCGATAATATGGACACTAATATAGCTGCGTCTGCCGGTTATCCGAGTAATCTGCAACCATAAGGTCACCGTTTCAAATCCGCATAGGGGTGGGCGACCTCGCAATATACTCAACCCGCACGCGACTGGCGGCGGTGGCGCGGCAGCGAAACGCCATTACGACATACAGTTGAACTTTTTTAAAAGTATAACTGCTCAGGTACTTAAATTCCTAAACGACTTCAGCTGATCACCATCAAGGGTCTGCGCAAGAGTGAGTTCCAGCCAATCTTGGAGAAATACTTAGTATTTCGATGGAGCAATGCATTGCCCATAACCATTGACACCTAATGCTAACCGGTCCAGTGCTACTTGACATGTTTATGAGCTGTCATTTGAAGACTCGTCAGAAAATCCAGGTCAAGAAGTCGCTCACCATGAAGTGGCTCTTCGCCTTATATATGATGTTCAGCTAACGCTGTTTCCATGATTTCGTCAATTACGAAGTTATAGTGTGCTAGTGACAGCGGGAAACCTTGTCTCACACCGCTGGAAATATTGAAGTGGCGAAAGTTTGCCATAAACCCTCTGCACGAATTATGCGCGTACGGTGCTCTGATAATGTTTGCCTGTTTATCGGGCACAACTCCTCAGCAGGGTCTCAGTCGATTTTTGTCGAGAAAAATCACAACGGTAATTCGCCAGTACACGGCGTTACCCAGCCCGGATGCCAACGCACTTTAATACACATTCAGAACGCCTGGCTTGGACGGCTGGCTGGTGTCAATCCGATTGCATCGACATTGCGGACCTCCACCAAAACGCACCCGGCCGGCTCAGACAAGTACGTGTGCAGAGTCCACGCTCGTGCTGTAGTGTTCAAGTATAGAGCACGTATTTCGTGGCAACACCTTCCCGCGCAAGTATCTCGAACAGAATCGGTCGATCGACTAAATCAAACGCACTCTTGCAATCGAGGAACAGCTATTGTCGGTCTGCGATATGCGCGGTGCTCTAACACCTGCCTCAGAGTGAATATGTGGTTTATACAACCACCTGGGCAGAAACCTGCCTACTTTTCCCTAATCCGAGATTCCCGTTCCACAATAAGGCGCCGAACAAGAATACTGAATACTGTATTTTGGTGCAAGTAGAAAATAATTCTGTACAACTCCATCGGGTGATAATCAAAAAACATTAAAAAAAATAAACACGTCCGGTGGTTATCGTGAGGTGGTTCAGCAACTCCTTCTGTAGCACACTAAATGCTTGTTTACACAGTGAGTCACAAGTGGGTGATATCGTTGTCAAGTGGCAACCGTTCTCTTAAACGTATGTTATCGAAGTGTAAATCCAACCAAGATTTGAATTTCTGCACAGATTCTGTCTCGACGACGTGTTCTGGCAGACTGTTCCAGGCGTGCACAACCCTCCGCTCGAAACAGGGGGTGTGGGATTTTCTTCAGATCAGGTACCACGAGTTTGTACCTGTGCCCACGTGTGGTGCATGGTACTCGCAAGTGGAGTAACGACCTTAGCATGGGGAAATGACCGAGATGTAAAATACGGTAGGTCATGGTAAGATCCACTCGAACACGGCGATATGACAAGGTGTAGAGCCCAAGTTTCATGCACCGGTTTTCATACGATAAGCCTCTCAAGCTGGGGATCAACTTGGTGGCGATGTGTTGTACTCGATCGATCTTTTGCGCTTCGCCGCGAGTGATCGGACAGTATGCAGGCGAGCCGTACTCTAGCATTGGTCTGACGATGGAAGAGAAGAGGCGAGTGGCGACGTCCTCAGACCAAGTGCAGAAGCTGCGTTTCAGCGCCCAGAGCATGCGCAGTCCGTTTCGATACAGTTTGTTGGTGTTGTCGACGGACTTCAAGTCGCAGCGTGAGAGTACACCTAGGTCTTTCACGGAAGGTGTGAGATGCAGTGGTTGGCCGTCTAGGGTGTACGTTCGTCCGTGAACAGCCTTCCCGAGATTCATGAATTGGGACTTTGCCGGGTTGACCGGTAGGTGGACTTCAGCAGACCATACTGCGAGGCGGTCGAGGTCTTGTTGGAGAATGTCACAGTCATCTAGAGTATTAATTTCTCGCCAAATTTTGAGGTCATCCGCAAACAGTGCACACGGCGACCGTAGAAGCTGGGGCAGCTCGTTGCTATGGAAGAGAAACAGAGTAGGTCCCAGTACCGTACCTTGAGGTACACTGTTATGGTATCGGCTGACCTACCGATGACCTGCTGCTAGCGTGCACTCTGATCAGCCCGACTTCCCAAAGCAGGAGACCGGCGTACGGCTGGCAAGTATATTTTCTTAACGTCCAACTAACGGTACATTCAATTTATGGCCAAATCAATAGCCCTCAGCGTAAAACGCTCTCATTGGCTGGTTCCGTCCCATTAACACCTTCCCCCG